AGCGCCGGCGTTGAAGCATCCTAGATGGTAATGCTCCTGCTCGGCCCGCGGGCCCCCTAGCATCAGGCCTTTCTTTTTCTTATAATAAATGCTGAAATCACTTTAGTACCAGGAGCCTGCTCTTGTTTTTAACAACAGGACTTAGCGTTTTAACAAATCTGAAAATATCTTGCCTTGAATGCCTGTGAATTGGGAGTGATGCAAATCATGCTCAGAGGTGGTGCAAGGGGAGGAAGAGAGAAGTGGAAAGCATCAGTACTTTACAGTAGTCCAGTAGTCCTGTAAGGCCATCACATTAATGGGGAGACAGGAAGGGAAAACACTCAGTAGGGAACTAGGATGTGCAGAATGAAAAGTGATAAAACCTGCTTGAGAACAACTGGCTAAACTGAGTCAGGAGTCTTGTAAAGCTTGCCTCAGAAATTACTTTGCTGTGACCAGAAAATAGCTCTTATGCCTTTAAATGGTGGGGAAAACCACCACAATTTTATATAGACAGCTTCTCAGTTTGTTCAGTAATGACTAAGTTCAGCACATGTGGCATCATGAATAAGTCAGACAAAAGTAATACTGAACTGGTAGAATGAAAACGTTAGGATAGATAATGATCCATATGGGAATATACCAGGCAGTTTATGACTTGGTTTATCAGGTTTTGTAATTTAATTTTTGTAACAGTTTCTTAGAGACAGCTTTCACACATGGATTCATGAGACAGATGAATCACTCATGTGATCTGAGTAAATTCAACAGCTCTGCAAAATAAGACACTGAGTTTTGTCACATAATGGCTCCCCATATAATGGCCTCACCCATTAATGTAAGGCAAGAAAAAGAGTACAAATAGCTTTAGAGTAGACATGCATAATGATCCCATCATGCTTAAGAAGGACAAAATCATCCAAGAAAATTGTAGCTGTTACAATAATGTTGGAATTGGAGCTCTTGGAATTGGAGCATGGTTCTTTACTACATGATGTAAACATGTCAACATTATTATATGTGTTCTTAAAAAGTTACCTTTTATAATTCTGAACTGTTGTGTGTGGTTTTTTCCACAGAACTGACCACATGGAAGTTTCTTACAGTGATCAAGGTGGAGTCTAAGGCTTATTACTCATCTCCAGTTAAGGACCAGCTTAAGGTGTGGTTTAAGGACTGCAAAAAACTCAATGCAATTCCTAGGTTCATGGAACAGCATACGTAGTATCCCACTTTTTAGTTTGATTTAGCTGTATCTGAGAATCACTACAAACTATGAGACAGCATATTTCCTGTTCAAATAACTGGAGACCCATAGTCTTGAAGGTCTATTGTAAAAGCATATTAAAGACCATTATTTATTTTACTGCATTATTTTAAATTCTTCTCAAGAATTACTAAGAATAATACCATGTGAAACAACTAAGCACAATTCAAGCATGTAAACATGAATTGAAACAGAAGTTCTCTTTTTATTTGAAGAATACACTGTGTCACTGTGTCTTATCAAAAGTCACAGCTCTTACTAAATATAGACATTACTTTTGTTTTTAAATCTATAAATAGATGCTAATGTAATTCATCAATTAAGCAAGACCTATCAGGAATTTAGGAGCTGTCCCTTGCCCAGAGATGTGAAATGCCTGCTTTATTTGTTCCAAATGAAAGCTTAAACTCTACGAAGTCAAAGGTAACCTTTTAGTGTGTGCCTAAATGTGATTGCAGGGCCAAAAAAAGAGTTGTTTCAAATTATGCAGAAGGACTTGAGCAACTGGACTCTATTAGTCTCTCTGGGATGCTGAAAGGCTTCTTTAATAAAGAATGAATGGGAAATACCTCCTATGACATGGATCTTTTACAAGTTTAGCTGAATATAACAGTGCTGCAGTTCCTGCAAGTGCAATGCATACATTTCTGATGTCATATACCTAATTTTAAAAAATAGCATAATACCATATCTGAAAGGTACATGTTAAATAAGTTGAGAATGATAAATGATGAAAAGCAGCCATCAGTCATCAATAACAATGTCTTGGGGATCCTGCAAGTATGGAGGATCCAACAAACCCCTTGATGACTCAGATATAGCTGTAAAACTGTGCTAATAAATAGCTCCAGAAAAACAAACTAGTAATTAGTGGGGATAAGCAGTCATGCAGAGTGATCTGCGTAAGGTGGAAAACTAAGCCAATTTGAACAAAATGTATTTTTGTAGAACAAAAGGTAGGCTGTCTCTTCCAAAGGATAGACTGTATTCTGGAAAATACCAATTCTGGAAAAATCCTAGCTATCATGTCCCAGCTAAGAACCAGTTTAGTGCAAGGCTCCCCTGTGATAATATGGCCAAAAGGGTGAATGCAGTCTTTGAGTACCTCTGCAGAAGAATAGCAAGCAGCTCTATGGAGAAGCATATTCTAATGTTACATACAGAGATAAATTTTGTCTAGTGCTAAGCAGCCATGTTTTCAAAAAAAATCTGTTGGCAAACCAACTGCCAATGTTCCAGCCAGTAAGACACCTTTACAGGGGAATCTGTCTTTCATACAAACAAGAACTGAACTTGCTGCACTTTAAAAGACAAAAAAGAACTCCAAAGAAAACCACAAAAAAACCAAACCAAACCAAAGAATGCCGGGATTTAATGGTTAACAGCAATGATGAACATTGGAAGAACTGAATATGGGAAAACAAGGCTAAACAAGTTGAATTTAGAATTAAGGTACAATTTCTAAAAAAGCAAATATGATTAAACCATTTGAATAAATTTCAAAATAAAACTATGGATTTTTCATTGTCCATCTTCAAATTAACACTCTTAAGTTTTTCTGGCAAATATTTTATGGTAAGTCGAGTTAGTTATTGGATTCAACACTGGTGAAATCTACCATCTTGCACTACATAGTCTTAGGCCAGCTTATCTATCACTTGATTAATGACTTGATTTTAATGTTATTGGTAACACTTTCATGCCATTGTCTGCTTATTCAATCACCATGTCATAGACTGGAAGGGAAGAGGGAAATTTGGAAATGAAACTTCAAAAAGAGTGAGTGGAAGTTACTTCTGGAGATAATACAGAGGAAAAATGGTCAAAGAGTAAAGCACTGGGCAAAATCTAGATGTTTTCTTCAATGCATGTATAGCTCCCACATAGTGAAGCTACAAGTAGCAGCAGCCATTTAGGTAATTGTTTACTTTGTGTCTGACTGCCTACTAGCCAAGCTCCTCATTCACACTCAGACAGCTTTCTTATGAAGATCAATGAGCCAGCTTGCAGCTGAGGGAACCACATAAACCTAAATGCCTGCTACAGTCCAGAGCTATAATGTGACATGACTTTTCTTTCACAGTGAACTTGTCACCTCCAGTTTAATTCACTTAGGTGTTACTGTCATAGCTGTTGTTCAGGTATTAACAAGTTTAATTCAAGGTTGACTTTCTTATCCATCAGGAATGGGTCAGCACTCAACTAAAAGCAGTTACATGTTATTTGGGGTTTGGCTTTCTCTACTAGTGACTATTAATGCTATGATTGCTAGCAGAGCAGCTTCTGTGTATTCTCTGTAACTTATTTTTCCAGAATCAGATGCTTATTCGGAGTATAACTCTAATTTCCATATTCTTCCTTGAAATTATAATGATGCAGCAATTTCTTTCTGCTTTAGTCTTCCTTTCATTACATTATCTGAAATGCCACTGTTTCAATTTTATATTCACTTACTCCTGACCCAATAAATTTACCCATTTCACTGACTCTTCACATGCATTCTTCACTGCCTGCTTGCTCAATAGGTCATTTGCCTTCACTCCTAGCCATCCTATTTAGAGTACCTCGACTCCTTAAATTTCCACAATTTAGGGAAAGATGGAAATGGACAGGGATAAAATTTTATCTATTCTTTACTACCTTTCATTTCTGTATCAGCTAAGGCAACTTCTCATCTCTGTTCTTTGAATATGACCTCAGATTAAACAATGGAAGACACATTCTAGATGTATTTCTATAAACACCAGTATTTCAGTACTTTTCTTGTTCTGCATTTTACTAGTACCTACATATCTGTTCTATTACCGAGACCTAAAAATGGTAAGACAGGATGTAAAATACCTTATTTCATCACTGCTCAAGGCAAAGCCCTGCAGTCCCGTTTTATCTTAAATGATAAAAGCTTTATTGCCAGTCAATAAAATGCACTGTGCTAAACCCCACGTTATTTAGCATATCAAATATGACATTATGGCTACAGTAAATAAGGTGAGTTTAAAAACCAAACTTCTTCCCTTCTGCATTAAAACTTCTTGTCACAGACAAGAGAAATTAAAATTGGCCCCCAAGCCCTTATGCTGCAAAACCATCACACTTATTTCAGAAGATTCAACCAACATGTAAAATGGTCTGTAATGGATTTGGATGCTCTTCAGCTCTCCTGCAGGTTAAGCTTCAATAAAGGGAGTAATTAGATGCATTTAACATCTGCTACAAAGTCACCAACATGATTTTTTGAAGCTTTGTACCAAGATTCATAATTGTATTCCCAATCTGTTTCCAAGTTAATTAAACTGAGATGGAAAAATGCTGTTCATGAGTGAAGTGTTTTGTAACTACTTTCAGTGAAAATACTGCTCCTTTCACACCTCTTTTGAATGAGTGTAACATTGGCCCTGCTGAAAGGCTCATTGTTGCTAGTGCAATGGATCAGTTTCTAGATTTAAGTGCAAGTAACCACAACTATCAATGTACTTCTAGACACCTGAACAATGATACCCACATTTTTGCTTAAAGCAGTAAAACCAGACACATTATATGGCAGAAAGGTGTGCATGTTCCACATACATCCAGCTGCCTTAGTTTCAGCAAACTACTATAAGATCAGGACCAAGGCCATTGGCCTGCCTCTCACTGATTAATGAACATGCACTTAACAATCAGCCACAAACCTGCCCTCTTCCACAGCAAAATGAATACGCTATTTCAACTTCTGCAATGTGAAGCAACACAGACCAATCAGACATTCAACTGTAGATTCAAATAAGAGCTTTAATCAATGCACAGACAGTAGGGAATATGGTATTCTCAATTCCCCTCAAAAGATAAAAAAATACTTAAGTATTTTACAAATTTATAAAATGTAAAGTTTTCTTTTACAAATAATATACAAATGCTTTTACTATCAAATGTATAAGACAATTTTGTTGCAACTGTTGCCTTCTTTTAGAATTATGTATTCCCTGAACTGTTCTCCTTAAAAAAACAGGACAGTATAATAAATCCATAAGTATAATGAATATATTGCTCATGACAGTGGTAAATGCTGAACAAAATAATTCAAAAGATCTTTTTATCCATCAGATTGCTAAAGTTCTCATGTGAACTATATTAACATGAAGAAGTGTTCTGAGTGTTAAATTTCAAAGTGAGATTGAACAATTCCATCAGTCAAATAAGTCTCCATGCTCTGAAAAAGATGATAAGAGAGAAAACAATCCTTACAGACAAAAAAAAAAAAAACAAATTAGGGTATTGGTAGATATATTGAATTGAAATTCAATATATATATATATATATTGAATTGAAATTCATCCAGAAAAGGATACTCCTCAGAATACCCAGATAGGTAATCTATGAAAGTCCTAAAGAAGAAAGACCTTTCACAAGGGCATGTAATGACAGGATAAGAGGGAACGGTGTCAAACTGAGATTATGTTTAGCTTAGGTATCAGGAAGAAATTCTTTACTGTGAGGGTGGTAAGGCACTGGAACAAGTTACCCAGAGCAGTTGTAGATGGCCCACCCCTTGAACTGTTCAAGGCCAGGTTGGATAAAGTATTGAGGAACCTGAGCTCTGAGTAAAAAAAACTGTCTGAAAGCTGTACCTGCCCATGGCAGGTACCTGCCCATGGCAGCCCATCAACTAGGTGATCTTTAATGTTCCTTCCAACCCAAACCATTTTATGATCATATGATTCTATGCTAAGCCTTTTGTATTATCTGATACCCCATAGCAGTGCCTAATGGTATCACTGTCACCATCTCTATTTGCCTCACTCCATCACTTGCTAAAGTAGGTTTGTCTGAGTCATGTAACAAATTGTTCTTCTCCAGAGGCCAAAAGGCTTGCTGGGGAAAAAACCCACCATGCAGTTCAGTAACTTTTGTGGAGGAATATTTGAGGAGCACCTTGATTTTTTAGACAGTTGGAACTACTATTAAAAAATCTCTCAGGAATAGAGTGGTACAACAGAAAAAATGCCAATAAAGTTGCTGTATGTTTTGAATCTCGCTGCAGACATTCTTCCTCAGCTGGGTCAACCTGCTTGAATGCCTAAAGTTCTGCAAGGACGGAGATACCCAGAATGCACAGGAGAAACCAAGACCTTTGTCTTCCAGCCAGACATACAGTAGCAACTGACCTGGTTCATTTTGTGACACTGACTCAAACAGGGACTCTGTTCTCCTTGGCCCACTTTTTCATGACGCGAACAATGTACTCTACTTGAGAATTACCAGTGCTCTTCAGAAGGTGCAGAACTTCCCGCAGAGTCTCTCTACAAGGGTGAAAAGTGAAGATTTAAGTGAGGGTTAGACTCAACTGATACAATAAACTGCTCACATCAAACTATTTCACAAAACATAGGTTCTCTGAGACAGAGAGGTCCATTCATCTACAGTGCTGGAATAGGTTAAAATGCACGATAGATGCGATCCCAGAGACAAAAAAAGCGATCAACAAAAAAGTCTTGTATACAATTGTAAAGAAATGATAAGTTAAAAAATAAAATCATGAACATGTAATTAGTTTAGTGTCTGCATATGTGTGTATTTGTATACATACCCTCACTCTTGCAAAATTGTTCCCCAGAACAAACCAAACTTAAAAAAAAATCTTTAATGTTATTTGCTAGTCTTTAGTATGGCAACATCTAGCTTAATGCTGCCAAAGCACTTTACACATAACACAATACACATAAACACAAATAACATGGAAATCAACATTCCTAATAGAATAAACCTATTACTATTAAACCTATATAAATCCTGCTGCAGCTTGCCATTTAGTTTACAATAAGAACTTAATTGCATACTTTGAAAAACAGGCAAGTTATGTGTATTTTACTGCATCTGCTGCAGTGATTGTTAAAAGGACACTTGAAAGGTATAGTAGTTAATGAGATTATTCCAGCAGAGAAGTGAATAGAAGGAAGGTGTAGAAGCCAAGATACACACCTACCAGTCATATAGGAAACAGCAACTTTGGCCAGAAGACAAAGGCCATCTGGCATCACAGCAGAATATTCACAAGGGAGCAGTTCTTAAATACAGCTTCACTACTCTCTCTCTCATTCCCCCATCCAGTGAAATGGGCCGAAAACAAAATTATCAGTAACACAGATGATTTCCTTTAAGCTTTCATCAAGTAAGTATATTTGTGTGACACGGTCAGTGTCTTCAGAAGGTAAATTTTAATGAAAGCACAGTCTCATCTACTCTTTGTTTAGAGAAATCATGTCCTTCCTACAGTGCTGAGTAAATGTTCCCTTAGTTCTGTTCTATGCATTTTAAAATGTCACGTGATAGTTTTCCATTCTTACACCATCAAGATGAAATGATGTTGTTTTCCCCCAGTTCATGAACATACTACTACACTTATAACCTAGCTTTTCCTGAGTGCTGATGACTAAAGTATTTTGGTATTTTATAGTCCACGGCACTTGCTCATAAATTATTCTCTACCATATATTCTATAATTGTTGGTGTGGAAGATAGACTTCCAGCTGAAGACTGCATATGGAGCATCTGGATGGAATGTCTATTCTCTGAAAGCTCAATAGAAGATTGGAAGGTGATATGTAGTCCTAAAGCTGAGATTATAATTCTGGTTTATAGCTAGCTGAAAATAGGAAAAGAGCAATATAAATTCAGATACAACACAGAATACTCACTTTGCTTCTCGTCCAGCTAAAATCATTTGAAATACACCCACACAAGCACCTCTCTTGCCTTCCCAGTATTCAGGATTATTATCCAGTCTCTCCAGAATATCAAAGGCTTTGGCTGAATAGTAAAACTGACGCATCTGCACAGAAAGTGAAACATTATTCCTGACCACCTTTCAGAAGGGGATTAAAAACACAGAACCCAGTTTTCTGAAATCAGCAGTAAGCTGTAGAAGCAAAGTGCATTTCCCTGTTTTTCTGCAGGCAGCAAGTGACACTGAACAGGGACACTGCAGTTAAAGAAATGGGAAAGAGGTGGTATTACAACATCTTTTTTTGAGGTGCCCTTATCTAGTGTCGTACCAACTATACCAAAACCCTTGACAGAATATCAACCTCCAACTAGTCCAGACATTTGAAAATGAAACCACATTTCCTCATGTAGACATGGCCACATATTTGTTTATCTTCTGAGTTTAACTTAATCTTTTTTCTTCACTGTTACAATACAGTACAAAAGAAGATTCAGTGACTCTATAATCCAAAATTTTCCTTAGCATAGGAAAATCCCTATGTGTACCCTATCTTTTTTCTGCCTTAGGTTCTCTACTTGTAATTGGGAACCAGGAGCAAGTTGCTTGGCAACAGTCAATGCAAAAGGAGTGACCAGATTAACTGTGGCTTTTGAAGTCAGCATAGCACATCTCATGTGGGCTGTATGAGTGCTCTCCACTTGAGCAAGCCTGAAGGGCAATGTTGTTTGTGACTAGCATTTTCCCATGAAAGATCACAGAAGGTAGACTGAGCACAACCTCCTGTCCTTTGGTAGCTGGAAGCCTGCAGAGAAAAAAGTGCAGGCTGTGGGAGCTACATTTGGAAACCTTAGTCAGAGAAACACTGGTACTACAGGATGAGTAATAATTCTCATTTCTTCACATAAATGTTGATTTTAACCACTGGTGACGGGCAAACACTTCAATGTATGGGAAGTTAAGATAGTGAGTATGAACACTACCAGATGCATCAAAAGAAGAAGAAAAATTAGAGTACTGATCTATCCAAATTAGTATCTGATCTAGTTCCACTCAGCAAGTACAGGTTTAATGTTCTCCTTCTATCTGACATAAATCTAGGAAATGCTTCACCCCACGTCATGTGCTGTTCCCCATATGGACAAGATGGACTATTGCATAAAAAGCATCAAGAAATTAACATGAAATACTGTGTGCCAACTTCCTCACTGACCAATTTCTATCAGCACAGCAACCAGGCATCCAGCTACACCACCTCTCAGGACACTGCTGACCTTGTTCCATTCATGTTCATTCTATTTTCCATTGAACAAAGCCTAATGCAACTGCCTTCTTAAGTCACATCTCTGGCACTGTCTGTGGATCTCCAATATAATGTAATGTTTCAGAAACAACCGAAAAATGCCACAGAAAATCAAACAACATGGACCTTGCTATTTAGTTCAAGAGGTAAAATGGCTGCTAGTGTAGAAAGACAAATTATATTACTAAAGTAACAACTTTGGAGCAGTCATTTATGGCCATATGTAAACATATAATTAGGCTGAAAAATTTAGCTCTATATATGCAGCTTTTAAGAGCTCTAGATAAATCCAAAATATGGAGCTACTTCTCCTCTTCAGGACAAGAAGGTTTTGAAAAGAATTTAGACAAAGCAATCAACTGATTTAAGTGAGACTTTAAATGATCTAGAGAGAGATTTTACATGAGGTCTGATTGTCAACCTGCTTTCACAAATTGCAGTTATGGGAAACACCAGAGGCATAGTCACTTGCTTGAGCAACTAGACTTTTAGGGTGAGATGGTAACTGAGTAGTTGAAAGAAGTACAAGGGATAATTCTTTCAGTTTTAGAATATTGCTTTTGAGATCACAAAGAGTATCTCCCATTGCAAACTGTAAGGAAAACAATACTGTCCTGAAAAAAAAAAAAAAAAGCAGCATGAAGCATGAGGCATCTTGCTGAATCTATGCTAGATTTTTTCCTTTAAAGTTTTTTGTCCTTTCTACCCATAATGAATCCCTAGTAGGAGAAGCAAGTGTTATCATTATTGATAGCTCAAGCATGCAGTAATTTACCAACAGTGTAATCAATGGGTTCTCTACCAAGAAGGCCTGTAGGTTAAAATACTGACTAATCCTTGCCAACTCATTCACATTATTAGACATCCTGCCATTACAACAGAAAATTCACTAGTGATGACAATGATAAAAACTATCAAAAAATGACTGTTGATACAATCACTGAGTTAACATGTTATACACCAAGCTCTAAAGAGAAAACTCACTTTGTAACAATCATTTGCAATGAGCTGCAATAGGTTAAAGGAGTCCCCTGATGTTTCCATCTTCAGATAGAGCTTCCAGGCTAGCTGTGGTTTCTTATTCATAATATCTGCAATAACAAGAAAAAGCTGGAATTGTGAAAAGAATATGCTATGCACAATATTCAGTGGCAGGTGGAACAGATATTCCTGTATTTCTTTGTTTAGTGTAAATGTCTCAGCCATGAGCATGAGGCTGGGAAGGGGAACTCGTCCTTATCTTCTGCCTTACTAGTGATAACAGCCAATTCAGCAGAGAATAGCAGCGTCAAAAGGAATAATTATAGTGTTTACATCTTAATTTATATTTCACAGATATGCAACAAGAACAACTCTCATGATTTGAGATGTGATTAACGAATAGAATGGAAAGCATCAGAGAAGTTTTTTATGCAGGACAAATGGCAATCCATTTATATGGTAAGATTAAAATTATGTGTCCTTACAGACAAAAAAAAGTTAATTGGCACCAAACTGAGGTCTTTAATACTTGGTGCCCATGTCAGTCTAAACCTTCAATTCCCATGAATTCATAACAAATCAAAAGGAGAGGGCAGAGGTTGAAGCCCCTCCAAGCATAACAAAACTTGTCATTGCTAGAAAAAAATGTTTCTAAATTCCTAGATCCCACACTGGTTTTAAATTTGTGTATATGACTAGAATTTTTCATTGGTCTTTAAATATCACAGTTAGAAATAAATGAATCTGAATCTTCTATCTTGATGAGTAGAAATTCTACTAGGGTGTTTAAACACAAAGGTTCTATTTCTTGGTGATAAGAAGCCATTCTCTTGAATCTATGGTTGGTATTCATAATTCCAGGTTCATTCAAACACTGGGAGAAAAGAAAATATAAGTAAGTTTTCCTTTATTTTTCAAGCCTTAACAGCTGCTCTGAGAGTACCTGGCTATTCACATAAGGATCACTGTTGTGTTTTTACAAAAGAGAGACTGTTTAGCTTGTTCTATCTGTGTCCACTACATCTATACTTATATTGCAGGTAGAATGGGTGGTAATCAACAACAAACATATAACACCAAATCACAGAATTTATAGATTCTTCTCATTTAGGAGGCAGCAAGACATCAAATTGGATTTATCTCTCATCAGCTCCAAATACCACATACAGTGGTAAACAGCCAGTTCTCAATTTCCAACACCAATCTACCTAGAGCAATGCAGTTCTGTGCTAATCCAATGGTTTTTTGACTTTCCCTTCAAGAAGAATTTGGTATAAATAGTACTATCATACTAAACAAATCTTACATTCTGTCATGTAAAAGGATGCATCTCTTGTACTTTGCCCCTTGGAAATATTTCAGCATTGAATTGTTTAATACTCAATCCCTAATTATACTCTGACATTAATGTATTATAATGTGATCTGTTAGTAATTTACATACTTGACACAAAAAGATAACTATATTCATCATTCCCATAAAAAATTCAAATAAAACATTCACAAACACAATCTGGTACTGCAGCTTAATTAAAAAGGAAATAAACTGGCACATCCTAAAACAGAGTCATAGATAGGCATCCCTATGTGTGATGTGCCTGTCTGGAAAGATCATATTAGGAGATGTTTACTACATCTAAAATATGGCATAACATCCCAAAATATACATATTTACATTCCAGGTACAACTGCTGAAAATGGTTTGATAAGAAAACATTTTTATATTGAGGCACTGTAAGGAAAACAAATTAGCCCAGGGAGTCTCAGACTTGAGTCCTCAGAAAAGCCCACTTCTATATTATTTTGTATGTGGCACAGCAGCTGTCTCTGTACTGAGGTGTACTCTGCACTGTTTTAAAAACTGGTAAATAAGATTTGTTATAGAATATTAAACACGGCAAAAGTTTCCTGGATTCAATGAAATTCAAGGAAAGAACTCTTCTAAAAGTTTTTGGAAGAAAAACACATGCTGGAGATTATAAGGATATCCCTCAGGCACAGCAGTTTGGACAACATGTAGAGTAACATGGTAGGAAGAAAAATACCATGTATGCTTGCCTGACTCTTCTCTTCCCTAGACATCTGACAGTGGCTAACCTTGAAGGCAGACAGACCCTTGAGCCTGACCCAGTATGAATGCTTCTATTTTGTATTTTACTCGGAACATTTTAGAGTTGTAACTCAGTGTTTTAAGACAGAAAGTCTTCACTCATGCAATTGAGTACACAATTGAGAGGAAAAAGGGTCACTGGTCAGGACAAAGCTGCATTGACAGTACTATAACAGCATTGCACTGAAGCAGTAATTGCTTATAAAAGCCAGAGGTATGAAAGGTGCAATAACCACCCACACTATAACTAGTGCAATCAGCTTTTCACTTTCATAGTCCTGAATCCTCCTACAACATTAAATTCAATTAGGAGAGTGGATTGCCAGGACTGACGCAATAGAGGAGGATCTGTATTCCGCAATGCTGAAAGTAAAGTGACTCACAGCAGCGAGCCAGCCAGCTAAGGTAAACAAAATCACTTTTTATCTTCTCACTCTGGATCAAAAGGAACACCTGCAGGAAGAAGGAAAAGGAAAGATTATACACGCATGTACTTTTAAACAAACAGAAGGCAAACCTTCCTCATTTCAACACACAGATAAGGTTTAAGTCACACAAACAACTGGTCATGAGAAGAGTTTGGGTATGCAATTGCAGTGCAGGGGGCATCCCTCTGTGTGGAGTAGGTGGAGGATTCACACAGTGCCCTGTTTGTCAGGGGACTTGTGCAGCTTCAGAACACCAAGCTGTGCAGAGGGTGCGGCCTGCCCTGAACAAGCGCCAGTGGGCGGCCATGCAGCACAAACAGCACAAAAGAACACTGGGCCTGTGGGAAAAGCTATTTGGAATGTGTTTGTTTAGAAAGCAATGCAAGCAATTGTATTAGCATCTTCTTGAAATACTACAAGTTTCACATGTAGATGAGACTTTCCTTCCATACATGTCAGATCATTCCAGGTCTGCAATAAGCCATTTCTAACCATTTTGGTTTCAGTAAGATTCTCAGGCATCTTTTGTACCTTACTGAACAAATACAGGTTTGTTACATTCTGCATAAAAAGGGATATGTGGGGGAAGTTATACATTTTAAAATGTACTCTGGCTTTGTTCAAAGGAAAAAAAAAACCTATTTATGCCTCTCTCAAGTATATTTGTAACTATACTGGATGCTACTGATGAAAATCAAAATACCTTTATAGAAATAGATGCATGTACTGGAACAGTGAGTTATACAAATTACTGACATTTGTATTGCTTAAACATTCCTGATCCCCGAATTTAGAAGGGGAGGAGAAGGAGTAATAGGGAAGAAATTAAAAGAAAGCAGCATTATCGCTGTAAGTAGCACTTTATCACGTTTTATTTTATTATGTCCAGGGAGGTATGCTTTTAAATAACTTCGTAAGTGCTATATGTAGATGATTTACAAGTTTATGAGACACAGGGGAAGGCTGAGCTTTATATGGAACTGTCATCATGACCCAAGATCAGACATGAGGCCAGATGAATCAATGTAATTATATAATTCTGGTATTTAAATGCATCACCTATATAACACAAGTTTCTATAGAACAGCTTCTAAAAAACATAAGAGGAAAAATGTAGATTAACAGGAGTTTACAACTTTGTGTTTCTTTGTTGTGTAGTTGCTGCTAAAACTTAGAGCATTATCATTTTTATGGAGTTTCAGGAATGAGCATAGCCTGCTAGCATAGTTTTGAAAGATTTTCATGATGCTAAGTGAATTGAAAGCTTGTTGAATTCAAACAGATATTCATCTTCCTTACAGTCTTGGATGCTTTTCTTAAAGAGAGATGCAATTTTGGGTCACAGAAATGAAGGGGTGAGGGTGCTGGATGGGAAGGTAGGTATGGGGGGGAGAGACAAGTTATAAAGCCTGGGGGGGTCTATTATTGACAAACCTGGAAAGTTAAAAAATTAGAAAGACTGGAAAAACAAAACAAAACATAAACCCCAAACCAACCAAACCTATAGGATTCACTTTAGACTATGTGCTGTAGGATTTTTTTTTGTGGCTTGTCTTCTTTTTTGGTCTTGTGGAAAATGTTGCTTCCACCTTCATAATAGCTATTTGCTTTTGCATATTTTAGTTGTAATTAAGTTTCTGCTGCACACAGACATAAAAAAGTACTGGGTGTAGAAGTTAATCTCTTCCAGCTGCATATGAATGCTGCTGAATAAGATACTGGAGCACTTCCTCTTTTCCTCCCACATATCCCAGAGGAAGATTTTTTTAAAAAAACCCACAAATTTCTAGGGACACCTAGAAGCTCTTAACCATTCAGTGTCTTTTATTTAGCATGCCCTACTCAGTCTGAACAGAAAGAGTGCCTGGGATCCCAGACAAAGTGTAGAAAATCTGATTAAGAGGCCATTCTTTGATCAATTAGAGGTAGCTGCAAGCACTCTTGTGATGCACCACAAGCAGCATGACTCCCTGTATACCTCACATTACAAGATTAGCAAGATAATCTTTTCTGAATAGTGCTCACTGAGAGTTTCAGTTCCCCTGAGAAGGGGAAGAAGATGTTCCACAGAACCTGCTTATTTTCGACCAACATGAAGATCTGGGTGAAGAAAAGGAAGGAAAAAGGGGAATATGGGGGAAATGTTTCCATTGCTTTTTTTTCAAAGAAAATAAATACATACCTCTTCAGCTTCACTAAAATTGCCCATTGCAGCTTTGGCTTGGGCGTAGTTGAAGTTAAAAGTGTCATTGTTGTAGAAGTAACTCTGAAAAATATGGACAAACCCCAAATAAATACAACAAACACCTCCTCCCATGATAAAACAACATTAAAAATACATCCCCCCGCCTCAGTCAGACCATATAAAGAAGACAATGGGAAGGAAAAGAAAATCCCACATTAGGAACATACGGTATTTTTAAACAGTGGGCAGAAAAATTATGGACTAGCTTTTCCATCCTACAGTCATGACTACAAACACTGCTGACACATTCCACAATATTAACTATGAGAGATCAGGAAAATGTTCCAAGCTTAAAATTGCAGTGGCAGCTTTTGTGGGTATAATTTTCACCGGGGGCATGTGAAGACATGCTGTGCTGCCATGGCCTCTTTCACTTCCCAAGCACTTATTCACCACTAGGGTGGGTAAATAGGCAGGTGACTTCCTTGAGTCTTAAAGGCAGTTTAAGACAAACAAAACAGTTTGTTCTTCCAAGACTTGTCAAGGTTTATCAAGAGATCCTGTGCATCTGGTTATGTGATGGATGCTAATCTGACAAAATGGATCTCATGTTGGAGGTGAAGCCACAGTACTGGGCTGTACCAGGTAGCACACCAGGTAATAGCACTTCTTTAAGCAAGCCTTGCTTAAAGATACCCTTCTCTCTAGTTGAAGTGCAACACTGAGTTTTTCCCTCCCATAACACTAGATATGAAACATCTGGTTTAGGGCACATCATGTTCAACTAGCTGTATCTTCTCTGAAAAGCTACATGGGTCAAAGCAGGAAATGTTACTCAAGGTACAGGTTAGGCTGGTATTTGGGGTTGACCTGATCACAGTCAGTCTGAAGTGTAACTCAGATGACCAAAAGTCAGCTGTGTTCTACATTCAGCACTGTCCCACACTGCTGGACCAGTAGAGGTGGCAGAGGTAAGAGAGAACACAATAACAGATGCAAGCATGAATGGGATTGAGGATCCCTGCCCAGGAGCAGTGCAGTGTTTATGAGAGAGCATGGAGAAATAGGTGGTTTATCCAATATGGTTACTGCAAGGAAGCATCTCTGTGTGCATAACAGCAAGGTGTAGGGAAGAGAAATGTTTTTCCTTCTACAATATTTATAAAGGAAATGGAACTTGTGTAGGTAGATCTAAATTTGGGGTTTTTCCCCTCTTCAGAGTGAGAAGGAAGTAAAAAGCATAGTTGGAACTGTACAAAAGGTAAATGAAGCAAGGCACAAATCCCTTTCCCAGTAGTATCATCTTTCGTGATGTAGGGATACAGAGGCAGAGGAACATCTTCCTTTCACTGTCACAGGCAGTCTACAAAGGGTACTGATTTAGTTCACCCACACACATCAAGCTAGTGCCTTGAAAGGAAAGGTGAGGGATTGCCACTATTTGCCAGATGTCCAGGTTTCACCCAAACAGTCTACGGTAGCATGCACAAGCCAGCAAATACAGCAAGCTGTGTGACAGCATGAGGATGAACCAATTGGGGTGAACCTTAAGCTCAGTTTGTGAAAATATTTCAGTGCCTTATGGTGAACTAACTATGGGTTTCACCATATGAGGATTATGACACTTTACTGCATTCTTTCCCACCAGTAGTTTCATGTGAATCAGCACAAGTCCCAGGTTAAGCAAAGCTGGTGAGCCAGATGCTACTTTTACTGCATGAATGCCTTCTTCTGTTCAAGTAGACCCCATTGTATTTTTAAATTAAAATGGAGAAGAACCTTTGTCAAAAACCAAACTTAAAAAACGTGTCATTCTGTCCTGGCCATATAAGTGTTAGAGACCAGACCTACTGCAAAACCAAACCCAGGAGAAATTAACAAGTGCTGCTGATAATACATACACAGCAGCTATTTTTTTTTTTATTATTTTTTAAATTTTTTAACCATATTGTATGTACTGGACTTTACTCTTTTGTGGTCTTTTTAAAGATCTTCAATGTTTTCATAAAACCCACTGTGCTCTGAGTGACATCTACTTCAATAACATACTCAGATACCCAGCTTAAAAATTAGGAATTCCCATTGTGGCCACAACTCAGCAGAGCCTGAATCAGGTTGTTTTTTACTCAGTTAATCCCTGACAGTGTTATAATGTCACCCTTGGGGCAGCTGGCAATACATTTATGTCCTCTGAGGCTTTCTGATGCCTAAAGCAGTGTTAATTGGTCATGGATGAAAGTGGTATTTCTTGAGAGAATACCAAGCAAATAATCCTCAGAGAGGGCAGCTCTATTTTAAGAGCTGCAGAGATTCAACTGAAGTTTATTCCTGTGAATGAAACACAAAAGTAAATCCACGTACACCTTGCCTATAACATGGTACAGAAATAATTTTTGTATTCCTGTGACATATAAAGAAGAGAAGTGACTGAAGTAAATCTAAGCATGTCTAGTCTCAGCCGCAAAATTATGAAAATGATCAATTACCTCAAAAGAAACAAGAAGGAAAAGTTGTAGTAGGCAGTAAATTTTTGTCCCATATACCTTGGAGGTGGTTTGTAATCACATTTAACTTTGACCTTTTCGGTTTAGAACTAGTTGTTTAAGAACCTTTTCAAGGAAATGGAAAGAGCTGAACTTATCTGTGGAGTAGTTAATTGCATAATAAATGTAAGAAATACACAGAATTAATTCTCTGGAAATTACCATCTATACCCATTGGCAATAAACTGAGACCAGATGACTGGCTCTAACTAGAAATCCAGCTTTTAGATGGCTCAAGTAAGGCAAAGCAATTCTTACTGTTCATTTCCTTTTCTTCAATTACACACATACTCCAATTTGGAGTGGTGGTGGTGGTGTATCACAATTTGATCATTTATAACAATCTGGTGACAACCTGTCGTGATTTGATATTGGGGTTTGGGACCCCTTTCCCGCCCGGAGGGCGCCCCGTTGATTACAGTGGTCTGAGCGGGATTGGAGTCCGTGAGACCAATCAAATTGACAAGAACTGAAACCAGAGCCACAGCCAAAGAGGGATAAAATGGGCCCAATTCTCGGAAAACTCGGAATGATCCAGAGGGATCCCCAAGCCTGAGGGTATTTTTTCACTCGGAAAAATCGATGTGCATGAAGAAATCCACATGGGAAAATGAACCGTGAGTATCGCGTGGTTGAGTGGGGTGTGACCAAATGTGTGTGAAAGACGTGACTCTGTCACGAGGCGTGTGCCAACCCCACGATCACAGTTCCACTATCCCGCGAGGGACGTGGTTGGTCAAGGGGGAAGCAGAACGTTTTTGCTTAACACATTTGGGACCCAAGGCTCGGGGGGAGTTCGAGGGGGAAAATCGGTCACGGTTGGGGTCAGGAGGGAGAAGAGACGATCCTAGAAATTCTAGGAGCCCGTCTTCCTTCTGATCCAGAGGAAACAGGTAAGAATCAGTCAAAAAGTCAGCAGAATGGTTCTCTGCTCGACTGAGTGAGACTGGTGGCTTTTTGCAAACCCGAGAAGACAGCATCGGACAAAGAAATGGGACTTGTGGCGAATATCCCAGCCAGAGGAGACAAGGTAAGAAAAATTGCAGGAATCTTCGGAAAAATGGGGTTGGGAAAGAGCGGGTTTCAGAGAAAGTCCCAGGAAAAACCTCCCCAGGGTCCCAGAAAAGTTCTGCCAGAAATCCCAAGAGATAGTCCGTTGGGGTGGATGTTAGAACATTGGGACAGAAGTCCAAGGAGAGTGGGGAGATCCAAGGAGAAAATGATCCATTTTTGCATAGAAAAATGGGGAGGGAAGGAGATCGGAAAATATGTGGTGTGGCTGATTTTTGGCACTTTTGAAGCTTGGACTTGCGAGTCCTTGTACGATCACGTGTTTAAATGCCGCCCACAGGATTTTGAGGAAATTGAGTATGCTGAGATGTGGAGGTAGGCTTGTACAAGTTTATACCCGATATGAGCCCTCCAACACGCAGCAAACAGGGGAAAGGAGTGGGAACCTTTGGAAAATCTTCCACCCCCTTACTTTGTTCCTCTGCAACAACCCGAACCAGTGCAGGCACAACTGGTGCCTGCGATGCCTCTCGAGGCAGTGGTCCTGCTGAGTCAGGGCACGGCGCCGCCGCTCCCACCGGAGCAGGCTGCGACGCTCTCCTTTCCACATGGACAAGAGGCGGTGGCAGACCCGCTCCCATGTGAGCAGCTGCTGCCACAGACCTCTCCCAAACCTGACAAGAAACAGGTAAACATCTCTGGAGACGTCTCTCCCCTGGCCCATCGGACAAGGTGGCGAACAAGGAGGGCAACCATGGGAGACAGTGGGCATGAGGAAGAGAAGGCCTGCATCTTCCCTTTACGGGAAGTGCCGACGGCTCCAGGAGTGATTGGTTTTGTACATGCTCCGATCGACACGAATGACGTTAGGGCATTCAGGAAAGAGATGGGAAAATTAATGGATGATCCTTTGGGGGTGGCAGAAAGGTTGGATGAGTTTCTGGGAACTAGCATATACACCTATGAGGATCTCCAAGCAATTCTAAGATCGCTGTTTAACAATGAGGAAAGAGACATGATCAGGCAAGCCGGATCAAAGATTGGGAAAAGAGGAACCCTAACGGGGGAGCTGGGGAGGAGAGATGGCCAGGTCAGAAACCGTCTTGGGAAGCCCAGACGGAGGAGGGGAGGCAGAAAATGATAAATCTGAGAAATATGATAATTCAGGATATCTGGGAGGTGGTACCCAAGGGACAGAACATGAGCAAGGTACTCTGAGAGTGCTAAGGGAAAGATGAGACCCCCACGGAATGGCTGGAGAGACTCTGCAAGGGTCTGAGAATGTATTCGGGGACGGACCCTGACTCTCCGGTGGGGATGGTTTTGTTGAAAATGCAATTTGTGGCGAAATCTTGGGAAGACATTCGGAAAAAGTTAGAAAAGATAGATGGGTGGCAGGTATAGGGATTGCAGGAGCTGCTTCGGGAAGCCCAGAAAGTCTACATGAGATGGGATGAGGAGAAACAAAAGATTCAAGCCAAGGTATTGGTGGCTGCAGTAAGGGAAGCCGGAGTAAGGGAAGCAGGA